CTTTCAAATTCCCCTAATTTTTTTTCTCAGGCTGTGGAGCAATATGGTAGGCCAGATTTTCTTTCCATATTAGACCTTCATTTCTCCACATATGCTTTTTTTTTTTTTTTAGCTTAAACCATTGGTCAATTACTGATACCTAGACATTAAGAGAAGCACCCAGTTCCAAAGGTAATGAATCTAGATTGGATGACTTTAATCCAGTTCACTCTGTATATGTGTTGGATATTTTTCAGGAAGCACGTCAAGCACCCCTAGAAATGTATATGTATACCCTAGCTACAAAACTTGGGTTTTCCATTGATTCCTAGACCCTGGTTAAAAGGGCAGGAAAAAAACTCTTCATAAAGGTGGGTTTAAGATAAAACTGTACATAAAACTGTCAAAGTAAGTTTTTATGTCTCCTGAGGGTCACTTTGTCATTCTTTTGTTTTGCCCAGAAAAACATTCAGGATATATTTTTAACATTCACATTTAATTTACTAAAGCTATAGATTTAAATTTATAGTTCTTCCTTAAGCTTTTACGTTCAGTTTACAAATTGTTCTTTTATTTACAAATCACTTGAGAGATGCTTGAGGAAAATAATAATAAACTGTCAATTGCCTGGCTAACAAAGTTCCCCTCATTAAGACCTAAGACTTACATTTTATAAATCTAAGGAATTAAACTTATAAAGGTGGTGAATCTAAAAATTCTCTTAAGTGTTCTGCTTACAAAGTAAGATTTCAACTTGAAATCACAGTCTAAAGCCATTACTCAGTTACACATTTAAAATTAGAGTCACAAAGTAAATCTATTAAAACTCCTAATATGACAAATTCTCCCAAGCACAAGAATACATAGTTTGTTTCTAAACTTAACTCAAAAATACAAATACTGTAGGTTTATTTTATTATCTATACAGTTAATTCTAGATCTCCTTCAGGTGAAGGACATTTACCCACTGAATAGAAGACATTTACACTGTACCTGCAATTTGAGGTTGCCATCTCACATCTCACCTAGCTGTGGATGTTGCCAGACATTCCAAAGAGACTGAAACCTGAAACTATGACACCAAGGAATGACTTTTCTAATGACCGCCTGTGGAGTTGGGCTCTTTAATAGCCTCTTTGTCACAGACATCAATCAGAATATATATGCCACTGTGGGATATATATATATGAATATATAGACATACATATTCAAATGAAATTATTTGAACTGAAGTTATTTGAGAATCAACAGACATAGGAAGAGGCTTTTTCTCTGAACTCTCCCTATCTGCATAAAAGCAAAGTTTTCCAAAAGAACTTAACTGTCATAAATACCCTCCCTGGGAATTTCACAGCGTATATTACTGACGATGATGTCATCAGGATAAGAGATCTAAACAGACTCACAGAAATGCCATATCTCATCTGTTCTCCTATAGACCCATTCTTTCCTAAAAGTCATTTATTTTTATGTAAGTGCCCTTTCTCTTCCTCTACTAAGATACTGAATAAGCCCCACATTCTAACCATCCCATTCAGTAACATTTTTTGTTGTGCTGCCACATATATACATGAATAAAAATTAATCTTTTCTTCTATTAGTCTTTCTTTTGTCAGTTTAATTCACATTCCCCCAATGACTGAACCTAAGTTGGTAGAGGAAAAGTTTTTCTTCCCCAACTCCTATCCACCGTACTTAGCATAACTACTTGATGTATCTATTTACTTTCCCTCTCCAGGGTCATTCCCATTATCATAAATGTAATGTTATTGTCTCATAAAAAAATGTATTTAGATCTCATTGACTATCTTCCTCCACTTTTTTTACTCTCATTTGCAGCAGCACTCAGTAATCTCTGACTTCATTTTCTCATCTTCCCTTCTCTCTTAAACCCCTTGCAAAGGAGCTTTGACACCCACCCCTTCTTCTTCATTGAAACTATCTGTGCTGTTCACTGTTTACCTCCAATATCTATGAGAATGCCTGAGCATGTAACAAGTGATCAACTAGTATTTATGAAATAAGTTGTGTTTCTGAATACTTCTTTTATTTTCCCTGTTTGTTAGAGCTACACCTCATAGGCAAATTTGAATGTCATTTGAATGAATTCCAAGGCTTTGGGAGGTGTCACCATTCTCATTTTAAGACTATGCCAAACACAGATACAACTGCAGATTGTACAGTTTGCCAGAAAAATTATTAAGAGTGAATTCAGAAGAACCATGCCATCATAAATGTGTTGATCCTAGTGAAGCAGCTCCACCAGAGGGGAGGTGAGCATTCTACACCACTTTCTGATTTAACTATATATGTCTTGTTGGACATAACCTTCTGAATTATTTCTCCAAGTTTTGCTTGAAAGTATGCCCTATGCCAATGGGTGGGAGTCATGATATTTTTCTCACTCCATTACTGTGTATACAGCATAAAGCATCCCAACTAAAACAAGATCAATGTTTTGAAGGTAGTTGTGCCTGTGCATTAAACAATGGCTACCATAAAAATAGAAGTGAGCATATGTGATGAGTTAAATTTTGCTTGGTGGAAGGGCCCACAAACTTCCCTCTCCCACTCAAATCACTAAAGAGAATGTACATCACAAAAAGACAGAGATTATGTCTGTTTTGCTCACCACTGTATCAATATATAGTAAACACACAACATATTTACATTGTAGGACCAGCATTCATTGTTGAAAATGAACAAGAATCTGGTAATTGCCAGCAATCCTCCTCTGCTGATAACCTGATGCTCACTCCTGCCCCAAACTACCCTGTTAACCTACCCTGTTTAAAACCAGTTTCCAGGCTTTTTGCAATGCTGAATGATTGAAAGGGTACAGAAGGCCTTACCCTGAAGGGAAAGGTAGGAAGTTTTCATGAAAGTGGTACTAAAAAGTAAAAAAATCAAAGGGGCATAAAAGGGCATAAAAGTAATAACTGAGGCAAGAAAACAGAACCTGAAAGAAAAGAGCTGTATTGTCCCTATCTGGTCTATGCCCTGCTGAGATTAGTCACTCCACTCTGTACCTAGAAGACAGCCAGGTTGCTGCCAAGACCCATTTGGTTCTTAACTCATCTTCCCTGTTACTCTGCTCAGGGATTCCACTATAAGCAACCGCACCCCCTAACTCTCCCCTATGTTTCATCTATTGTGACATGAAAGCTTCTGGGAGATAGAAAGGAACTTGTCTTCATAAAATGTGTGAGGACCTCTTAGATTAAGAAGGCTATGATGAAAAAATTGTGTTTTGTTCTATTGTGCTCCATTTGATTTACGATTATTCAGCAATAAACAACCATGTCTTGAGACATTTATAGTGCTTTGTGGAGAATTTGATCTATTTTCCTGACATGCCCTGTTTTTCATTTCTTCCCTTGCCTCTTCTTTTCTGCCTTGGACTGGAGAGGCCTCCATGACTGGTGAAATTTCTGACCAGATAGAACTTTAAGCAGCTTCAGTCTCTTTAAACACTAACAACACTGGCTCAAGAGATTGTAAACAGTTCAGCCAACTGCAAACTCCACTAATGGCCAATCAATAGCTTAAACCTGCTAAAATATAAAAGACGTTTCTATTATCAAGCATTCAATTAGGCAATCTTAAAAAAAGGGAGCCGTACTTGGTCTATGTGATATGCTCTAAAATAGTATGTATCTTACAAGTTTTTTTTTTTAACTTCTGGAAGGATTAAACAACGTGTTCTCTTTCTTGAAATCTTCAGCTCATGAAGTTGTTCTGTCAATGAATCTGACAGTGAAATAAAACAATAATGAAATGATGGGAGATGGCTGTTGCCCTTGTGTATCTTAGCATCCTCGAAGCAGAACCAATAAATATTCAGCAAGTGATCAGTTGGTCCATCCCCACGTGCATTCTTCGCATATCCATGCCAGCTACCCTTTCGCAAGCAGCTTTCTTGGTCATTTACAGATGCACAGGCGGCGCGCTGCACCTGCCTGTGTTTCAGTAATGAGCTTAGGATGCGACATGATTTCTAAATTAAGGTTCTGGACTTGTAACATCAAGAAAGCCTGATAAAGTGGTAGCTGTGGTAGCCAATGAGTTACAGGAGAAATAACTAACACAAGTCCTCATACCGTCCTAGGACAAGTTGGATATACAAGACGCAGGTGAAGTATGGGTCCACAAAGGAAGCAGGTGAAAGGGTCCGTGTTAAGGGCTTTAAAATCGCTCCCTTTCTCCTGCCAATTTAGAAACAGCGTGGAGGTCGAGAGGTTGGGCGTTCTCGGGCACACACACGCAATTGGAGTGACATTTAGCCAGATGAAACCTCTAATTGACAGGGGCTGATAAAACTCGGGCATGGTGGGCTCCGAACACCGATGGGTCGGGGAAGATGGAGAAAGGAAAGGCTCTGTGCGCAAAGGGGAGAAGAGCGAGCGCCCGAGCAGGTCGGACGGAGAAGCGGGCGGCGAGCTGCGCGGAGCCCGCCGCTGGGACCCGGGGCTCCTGCCCGTCACGCGCGGGCGGGCGCTCAGCCCTCCGGCCGCGTAGAGGGGAGGGGAGGGGAGCGGAGCGAGAAGGGTGGGCGCCGCGGGCGCCCGGGCGTGGGAGGAGGAAGGCGGGACAGGAGCGGAAGGAAAGGACGAGAGGAGGGCGCGGGGGGGGGAGCCGGCGGAGGAGGGCGGCCCGCCCCTCCCGGCGCCCTCCCCCGCTCCCACATTCGGACGGCCCCCCGCCCGCCGCCGCGCCGCACCTCTCGGGGCTGCTCGGAAAACGCGGAGGCGCCGACTCCCCGGGCGCCCGCGCGCCCCCGCGGCTCGCGCGCTCGGGGCATGCGCGGTGGGCGGTGCCGCTCTGGGCCGCCTCTGCCGCCGAGAGTAGGAAGCGCGAGCGCCGGGCGCGGGGCTGTCAGTGAGCCTGGGGCCAGCGAGCGAGCGGCTCCCGCTGCCGCTCCGCGCCGCCACGGCCCGACTCCGCCGGCCGCCGCGCCTCCTCGCCCCGACCTCGCCGCCGGCCCGCGCCCCGCGCCGGGGTCGCCCGCGGCCCCGCTCCCCTCCTCCGCCCGCCCCCGCCCCCCGGCCCTCCCCGGCTGCTGCTCCCCGGCGGAGGCAAGAGGTGGTTGGGGGGGACCATGGCTGACGTTTTCCCGGCCAACGACTCCACGGCGTCTCAGGACGTGGCCAACCGCTTCGCCCGCAAAGGGGCGCTGAGACAGAAGAACGTGCACGAGGTAAAGGACCACAAATTCATCGCCCGCTTCTTCAAGCAGCCCACCTTCTGCAGCCACTGCACCGACTTCATCTGGTAGGTGCGCTCGGGGCGCACGGGCGGGCAGCGCAGACGTCTCGCGGCGCCGGGTATGGGGATCAGACCCTCCCTGGCCGAAGGACCCTCGCGCGGGCGCCTCCAGTCTAGGCGCGTTCCCTCCGGGGCTGGCTCGGGGCACTTGAAGAGCCGGCGTGAGTCCGAACTCTCCCGGGGTGACGCGCGCGCCCGGCCCGCCCGGCCACTGACACTCGCGCGGGCAGGACTCCCCGGGAAGTCGCCGCCGGGTCGCACACCCCCTGCCGCAGGAGGGAGGCAGGCGGCAGTGACATTGATCCCTTCCGCGGGTCTAGTGCCCCTGCTTCTCCAGGCACCCCGGCCCTCTTGTACAGACCGCAGAAGGGCGGATTGCCCGGGTGTGAGCAGAGCGGCGAGAGGGAAGCAGAGTTTCCCGGAGGAACGCTGGGGAGTAGCCGGGGCAGCGGCGGAGACCGCGCGGCGCAGCCCAAGTTGCTGGCGAACCCGGCTGGGCGCGTTCGGGGGGGCGTGTATTTTGGGTTTCCCAGCCAGCTTGTACTCCGCTGCAACCTTGGTCCTTGCCTACTGTAGGTTCTATCTCCTGGGCACGGAGAGACTGAGTTTTCTGGGTGACCTCGGAGTGGAGACGCAACAAACTGTTGAAAGCTTGAGTGGGGGAGGGAGGGATTAAAGCAGGCAAATGGCAGAAGGGCAGAGAGTCATTTAAAATAGACCCTGTCAACACGAGCTTAGATCTGTAACCCTGAGGACAGAGGCTTTATATAAAAATACTGTAAAGGATAGACGTGTTAGAGTTCAGGTACTTTCCAGTGAACTCCAGTATTCTTGAGTGCGGGGATTGGGAGGAATTGGTAAACGGATGGGCTTCAGGGGTCTCTGGCCCCTGTAAAACTAAGTGAAACCGTATGGGCTTTTTTTAATCCTGGTAAAGGAATTCTAGCCTTCACTGATTCTCAAAACGCATATGATTTTCATTCCCTCCCCCGAAAGGCAAGAAAGCTGGGATTAAGGGAACTGCGTAGGCTCTAGTTTGAACAGTTTCGCTTTTCTGAGTTGGCCAGACACCTGGCCTCTTCTACCTCTTGTTCAGGGGGTAGGTAGGAAGCTCCCCAAGTCAGAGGTGTGGCCGGGATTCCTTAACTCCCGCCGCTGCTGGGTGGGGAGCTGCCTCAGAAGGCACCCTGCCACTAGCTGGTTGCTGCGTGGCATGTGTAGCTCGTTGGGGCCCTCGGGAGAATGTGTGGATATCTGAATCCATCACACCTGCAGAAAAACCTCCCAAAGAGCTAGTCCCACAAATGTGGTGCTAATAAAAGTGCTTAATTTTTCCTCTGGGTGGCTTTATCCGAATGCATCACACCTGGGGAGAACATCTCAAAGGGTGAGTCCCCAAGCATGTTGCCAATAAGGTGCCTAATTTTTCCTTTAGAAATCTCACAAGTACACTTAGGGAAAACCCCAGCTACCTCTAGGAGTTCCTCTGTGTCGTCAGCATATAAAACAATGGTGCTCAGAGGAGTAAGTAACTGCAGATAAGGTTATTAAAATTCTCGGAGTATCAAGGCAAAGAGAGGATATTGTATTTAAGGGGAATTCTTCAGCCTCCCGTGTCAACTGATTACATTAGAAGACCAGACTGCTGACTTGCAGGAAGTTAGGTAAGCTAGAAAAGGGACTTAACATACCTCAGGCTTGCTACTGTCTTTCCACTGTTAGTTACCTTGAAGGTTTAGCCCCCGGTGAACTGATGTGGCACTGGCAGGCCACCAGGTGTAATGTGAAGTGGAAAATGAAGTTCTTGTCATCCTCCTCCCTGAGGAATCCCTGCACCACCTGTCCACCTAACTGTAAAACAACCACTTGGGTGTTCCAGAAGACATTCACCAGGATTGTCTAGGAGTGGTTTAACTTTTCCACTTGCTTGTTTCATTTCTATGGGTTCTTGCAACATTCCATACTTTACAAGTTTTATTGAAATATTAAAGCACTAATATTTTAAACTTCAGGGTTTAAGTATGGGGGAGGGTATGACTAAATTACAGAGGTATGTCAGGTGCTTTGTAAACTCGAAATGCTATGTGAAGCGAGGGATTGATAACCTTAAAAAGTCCTGAGGCAGTTCATCCTGGTTGAGGCAGTATTTGCAATTTAATGTCCATGTCAGGTTTCTCTGCTTAGAGTAATGTAACTAACTTACAAGAACAAAATAGCCTCTGTTTGCTTTGAATGCTATTGGTTCTCAGTAAAAATTGATGGTCTCAAATGTGAACAATAAGAATAACTTGTAAAATCTGGCTGCTAATTTAGGCCAAAATTTAATATTCAAAGTGTTCTGTTTATATTTACAAATGGCTGAACTGACGAATGAAACCACTTCATTGTCTGAGAAAAAAATGATATTCAGTTGGTCTTTGGGGACCAGGTTAGGCCACTTCTTTTTAAAACCATAAAATCCTTTTAGTTACTGGAATATTGCAGCCAACAACTTTGAATACATAGTCTTGCTCTTGTTTTGAAATTTAAGTATTGATAGTATAAAAAATTGGATAAAGTCTTGAAACAGTGAAATCGTTCAGTGAGCCTGTGGAGGCCAGATACGTTTATTTAAAGTGAAACCCACGATATTCTGACTGTTTAGACATGTTTTTCCTATTAAATTGTTGGGTTTCACGTACAAGCCTTACATGTAGAATATTTGCACCTAACTGAGTTAAAATATGGTTGAAACAAAATGTTAAGATACTTTGTTCTTATTTCTGTCTTTCAGGGGGTTTGGGAAACAAGGCTTCCAGTGCCAAGGTAAGTGCCACATGGAATTTTATTCTCAAGTACAACATGAAATAAGTATTCTGAACAGGAACAGTGTATCCAGGTTTCTTTGTGACTCAAAATGTTTAGAAATTTTAGATATTATAGTTATTTAGATATGAGGGCTGTAAACTTGGGCCTTAAAAAAATCTTACAGTATTGCCTACTAATCTGCACATATTGCTACCTTTTTCTCATTGAAAGTCTTCCTGTAACTTAATTTTTTTGCCAAGAACATTGCCAGAAACTGCTGTCTTTGGGTGTTCAGGAAAAAATGGAATCCCTTTGTATTCATGTGGCTTTTCTTTTTTGGTTCATCTTTTACTGTGTGTTGGGCTGGAGTCACTAACTTACTTTAGGCCATGCATCCTTATAGTAATTTTTGTTTTTGATTACCATTTATCATCCAGAACAAAGTTTATACATCTTAAAGTTGTATAGCTGATTTGATGAGTGGCTGCAGTAGCATGAGGCACATTTTTTTCCTTCAGCTTAAATGTGACAACATACTATCAGTTGCATCCAGAAAGAAACCCATTAGTTTCCTCCTCTGTAGTTACATTTCACACACATTAAATTGCTAACTTTTCATACTCTGTTCTGTGTTTAAATTTAAAGACTTCATAGCCTGCGAAGGCATCCCAGGTTTGTTAGCCTATCTTCTGGCTCTCCTCACCATCTATGTTACATTTGCTTAGTCCTGGTTACATTTCCCATCTGGGCACAAGTTTATTATTAGGGCAAGTGGAAAGTACACTCTAGCCTGGAAAATATCCGAACACTGGTTAATATTAAGTGCATTAGACACTGTACTTTTTATAACTTCAAAATTGTGCTAGTAAGTTGTAGAACTTTTGAAAAGGTAACCAAGTATGTGAACTTGTTTTATATTTTCTAAGCATATGTTAGATGCAGGTATTTTATGGTATAATTCTCTACCTTTACAGTGTGCTTTAAACCTTGAATAAATCATTGAGAGTTACATTGGGAAATCAAAGAATATCCCTTTTAAAAAAGAGAAAGTTGTACCAGTCCTTTGATAAAAGTTGAAAGAATGTAGTTATTTCCATTCCAAAGTTGTGGACATGAACTTCATAGGCAATGTTTGGGCCTAGATTTGAATGTGACTTCAGGAAGTTTACATATGTAAGTCAAGATTCTGGGCTAGTGTGAATCATATCTGTTATTTTTGGTAATGTGTTTGGGTGGGGACCTATAGAGACTTTTAAGAAAACTATTTACTAAATCTGAGCATCTGACCAGGAGAAAGTTATTTTAAAACTATAAGAAAAATATTCTCTAAATACTTGTTCCAGAGGATGTAGATATGTTAAAAATTGTCATGTTCTGTATACAAAGAATTTAAGATAAAACTGGTCCTTCTAGACCTGAGCAGATTTTGGTGAAATGAGTGGCTGCTTTATTAGGCTACAAGGGGGTCCTGCATAGTTTCCCCCAGGGAGCATCTACTGAACTTTTAGTAGATTAGCGGAAAGAGTCTCATGTCAGCATAACTCCCATTAAAAAAAAGTGAAATTGTATATCCTCTTCTCTCCCTCAGGGATAACTTAAGACCTCCATTCATTCACACATACTTAGTTTTTTTAAAGGAGATCAAATTTTTAAGTCATTCTGCAGCTTTTTTCAGTCAACAGTGTGGGGTAGGTATTCTTCCATTGCAAAATACCAGCCATCCGATTCTACTTAGTGGTTCCAGGAATGGATGTATCAAATTTATTCATCCATTTCCCTATTGACATTGTTTCTAAGTTCTTAGCACAAGAACTGTCCATAATATCCTTGGACACTAGGTATTCTGTAGATACCTAGAAGAGTGTGTACATCTTAAATTTTAATGAGTACAGCTAAATTACTCTTCAAAAAAGGTTCCAATTTACATTCTCAGTATTATGAGCATAGCTCTTTCCTTCACTCCTACCAATTTTTGGGTAATACATTTTCTGGTATGTGAAAAGGACCTTGTTCTGATTTCCATCTCCTGAATAAAGTTGAGCACTTTTTCAAACATGTCTTAGCCATTTATATTCTGTGAATTGCTTTGTTTTACCTAATATTTGAAGTCTAAGATTTACAAACCAAACATCTATTCTTTGCTTTGGTGAAGAGTTAAATCTCAGATCTGAGTTCCCCTACTGCATTATAAACTTCAATATCATTTCAAGTATACATTTATTTGTAATATGCTATCTGCTTGTTACGTTTTACTTAGTATGTGTCATCTGTATTTAAGTCGGCGTATGCTAATCTGTTATCTCAATTTACTTAAGCCTGTGTTAGTGCAGGGCAATGCTTTTTAATTGTACAAATGTGGTGACCCAATGTTGCCAATTCTGGCACTTCTTGAAATTTAACATCTGACCATTTTAGAATATAAGTTCTCTCTAAATGGCATCTACCTTAAGAGTTTTCCTGCTCCGTTTGATAGTCTCATTCTTATTGAGGAGAAAACCTCATTGTTAACCATGCCTTTGACAGAGCACCTGGAGATGGCAGCAGGAGGTGACACTGCTGTTAGATATGTTTTCTCACCTGATGGAGGCAGGCAGTGTCTTCGAGCTAGTCGTATGTTGTTTTGGTTAGTAGATAAAATATCTGTAGCTCAGTATACTTTTTTAACTGGAGAGGTACATATGCTCCAAATGAGTCACGTATTCATGCAATTTTAAATCTAAAATATTTGTCATTTTAGTAAATGTTAAAGAATTGGAAGATTTGGAAACAAGTGAGTGTTAGTCCTTAAAACTAAGTTTGTGTGGTCCATATGATTTAAAAAGCATATTATACAAGGATGTTAAAATTATTTCCCACTTCTTCCTTTTCCCCAAGATACAACAAATGGAAGAGGACAGCTTTCTGAAGGGAGATTTGTTGGGCTATTCCCATTTCCTTAATGGACTCCACTGCTCACTTTAGATTGCAGTACAGGTTTACAACCCTGAAAACTGATATTACCAGGGCAAGTACCCAGGAGGATCCTGTTAGAATGTGTTGCCTGAAATAATGAAGCCAAGGCCCTAAACACTGGGGAGAAGACTGAGCCAAGAGAGCAGGGTCCATCTAGGAGCCGTGAAACATTTTTAAGGTTCTTACAGATGAAGACAAGCTTGTCCCTTTATAGATCTGAAGTGAATCTGGAACCAACATGTCTTTGCCTTTTGATTTTTTGTGTGGCTTAACATTCTATGTTCTGCTTGATTTCCTCAGTGCTTATTTCGTCTGAGGCCAGGTGAGAGCTAGTCCTTGCCCACATTTTTGGAGAAGTTGGCTTGTCTGGCTGGTCATTGAAGTTGAGATGCAAGCCTGGAAGGTCTGTGTCCAGCCAGTAGTTTGTTCTGTACTAGCTGCTTCCAAAAGCAGTTGTCAGAGCAGAGCAATCAGGCTGCTCAAATGTTCTCTTCCTGTGGGCCAGTGGAGCTGAAAGTCATACCTACTACTTTCACTACTGGAAAAGATGAGCCAACTCATTTTATGCCCCCGTCCTCAGTAAGATCCATGCACTTCTCTAATTACAGTGACAGAAACAGCCTCTCAAAACGTGACCTGCTTATTTGACATGCCAAACAGTTACTTAGTCTGTTACATCTGGTTAACATTGGCGTGTTTTTCCTGCCCTTCTATTCTGTCCCTTTGGTTTAATGTCACAATTAAAATGTACTGCTAACCCAGGCTCTTTAAAATACCCTAAAGAGACAGCATCAAAATCCATGCCAGTGACTGTGATGGACAGACTGTTGGCTCTGAATGATAAACGCTGGATGTTTGGAGGGTCTGCAGGGAATCATGTGCTTTCAATGTTCCACTATGAATCAATTTTGAATCTTGAGATAGTTCTCTATGAACACACCAAATACTGTACTTAACCTTACTCTGTAATTGAAGCTCTCTATTTTTCAGGAGTTAATGGTTAAAAATGGGCTTCCCTTCACCTTTGCTGATGACATTCTATTTTGGCCTTTTTAAGGGTAGGATGTTTCCATCAGTTCACCTGAGCCAGGATGATGTTTTATATATTCCTTCCCAGGAGCATGAAAGTTGATGTTTGAGGGAAGGAATGTGGCCCCCTCAACTGTACACATTTGGGAATTGCATAAAGCCAGGCTGATGACTTAAAGGAGGGTAACCTCTAGCAGAAAGGGGATTGAGTTGGCAGCTTTTCAGAAAGGGATGTCTCACACACCCTGTACCCAAGACATTTTCTATAGTGTATAGAGTGCTTACCCTACTAGCAGTAGAAACCTAATACTTTGCAGATGAATCTGACATTTGAGTTTCTTCCTTAATTTTGTGATAGTCACTACTTCTGAGTGTTTCACTCTTCTAAATGACATTCAAATTTAAGTTTTTAGGCACATTAACCCCTTGCTTGCTCACTTGTTTTCCTGCACAGAATATTTTCCAAATAGCATTAATTACAGAGCTTCCCTATCCAGATGAAATCTAGCTTCTTGGCAGGGCAGTCTGTCTCTAAGGATGCTTTCCTTCCCCTCTTTGGTTATTCTAAGTTGCAGTTTCCCAAAAAGTCATTTTTCAATTCTTGCCCCAGCCTCTTTTTTTCGCAGATGGTACCTGTTTCACCCATGAGTCTTAGCCTTAAGTTCAGCTCAAACCTTTCCCATTCTCCCTCTTTCTACTCCCTATCATAGGACTCTCACTGGGTATCATTTCTGCCTGACCGTCTCCTCAGCCATCCGTGAGAGCGAGGACTGAGTCTTATTTCTCTTTGTCTCCAGTGTTTAATGCAGTGCCTGGTGCTCGGTAGGCACTATGTAAATATTTGTTGGGTGTGTGATTATTTAAACATTAGGGGAGATAGGATATGAATGTCCATAACCAGGAGGATCAGTGACTTCTGGCTTCTACTGTTCTTAAAAAATCTAGTTTTGAATTCAAAGTTATGTCAACTAGGGTAGATCTTTAGGTGGTTTAAAGAAAAAAAAAATACTTTCTGGAACTACGTGTACTTATTCAAA